GCAAAGAAGCCAATATTGTTGTTAATTATTTTACATCAGCACTTCTAGGGCTATAAACAAAATCATAGTTCTAAGCTAAATTTCGTACAAACATAATGATGTGCATTCACAAGCTAAATACACAAAAGAGATGAGCAATTGGGTGAAAGAAGCATTATTATCCCCATTTTATGGTATGAGGCTAGAAACAGAAAGATGCTAGACTCTTCACCACTTGATTTATCTTAGTTTTCCCACTGATTTAGAAGAGGAAGTAGAGGAGACATGGCTAACTGACCCTTATCTGACGGCTCTGTAATATCATGTTCCTTCAGATACACATTCACTATCATAAACTTAGATCAGGGAAGGTCGTTACTCACATTAGGATACATTTCTCTTGTAAACTTTCCCAAGCCTGACACTTTGTTCATTCAATCATTAGCTGCATTAAAATATATATGTAAACAATTGTTTCTTGGGTCTTCATTAGTGCTTGAAGTTGAAAAATGCTTGGTACAACAGAGCTATATCAGCAGGACTGTGGATAGTGCCACCACCCATATCATTCTCAGGCCAGTATTTACGGCACTTCTGAGAGGTGGAGCACATCAGTTTGAAGTGACTCATGAAATCAGGCTTCACAGTTCTTTGCAGGACACTCAAATTGATCAGTCATTAAATAAAGAGGATGGAATCAACTACACGTTTTCTCAGGACATGTTTCCAAATAAAAGCAGACCTGGCCGCTTCATCTGGAGCACAGCTAACCAGTGTAAGTGTATGGTAGGTGCAAATTAGACCAGGTGGGACTGCAAGCAAGATTCAGCTTGCATGAACCAGGCTCTGATCTGAAAATACAGAAAACCTATACAGGCCCAGAAGCAGAATTTCAGTAATTAGCATTCAGATTTCAGAGAGGTGTCTCTATATACAGATTTCTTGGCACCTAAAATGAGGGAGGGCTGAGAATCACACTTGTAAGTATAGACACCAAGAGTTCTCTTCTGCATGCCTATATCATCATGAAGACACGAGTCTATATATATTTCTGTACTTCACTGTAGAAAGCAGAGATTTTTATCCTACAGTATTGACTTTGTGGTGATTTGAAGTGAGGAAATTAAAAGTTTGCAATGCCTCAATAGTGATTTACTACTCAGTATTTCCATGACTTGGTTTTGTATTTCTTACTGCTGGTTCCCTTGACAATTTCAGATTTATCTTTCCACCCATTTTCATTTCAAACCACATAAGAAAAGATGTTATCGACTGCTTTGTATTCAGTGAGAAATTCCTCCTCTTATTACCAAACGCATTCTGACTGTTGCTAAAAAAAATGATGCACTTGATAGCACATGGGGATTTAAATACTGTCAACTGTAAAGGGTACTTCTGCAGACTAACACACAGTTCCCAGCAATGCTTAGGCCTAATTCCTAGAGATTGGCTGAAGTCACAAGCTTCACTTCCAGATTTTGAATATAGCAACTTTGAACAATCTCTGAATCCACATTTTGATCCAGCCATTACTTAAAAACAGAACACACACACACATGCATACACACAAAAGAACAAACACAGAGCGACTTTCAGGATTTTTAATTCCTTCATGTCTAGGGCATTTGAATTTAAGACATTACTAAAGCCTATTTAAATACATAGAGTAGATAAACTCCACTGCAATATAGATCTGATTAAAAAGTCATTGCATTTGTTTTTATGAAAGAGAACTCATCCTAAATGTTTAATGTATAGAATAAAAATATGCAAAAATATAAAGGCAGAAATAAAAGCAAACATTATTTGGAAGAGCCAAGAAGAAATGAACAAGTAATAGAGCACAATCAGGAGGGTGAGACAGAAAGATGGAAAAGGGAGAGTGCAAGTATTAAAACAAGATAACAGGAGAAGAGACACAAAGTTGACAGCAAGGAGAAAAAATACTAAGAAAATATTTTTCTGACCATCCATTAAATCTCACAGAAACGGAAAACTGAGAAGGTTAAAAAGGGAAAGATGTTTATAAAAATATTAACAACAGAGTTTTTCTTAGAGGGCTTCATAGAAATTTGTAGAGAATTTAAGTTTGCAAATTCTAGGGGCAATAGCATTAGATATAGCAGGTCTTCTGAGGAAGTACAAGGATGCAAACTTGAAGTGCATATTTGTGCTTAATTTCAGTTGTCTTGACTGTCTCATGTAATTTATTATGCTTTGTTTTTTCAACATCTGCAATTTAAAAATAGCATTCTAGTTCATGGCAAGTATATGAGAGTTAATTATAGCAGACCATGATTTTCAATGGAAGGTGCCTGATGTCAGGCACCCAAGCCTCTGTTTGGATGTGAAATAATTAGCCTCAGTTTCAGAACTGACTGAATTGAGTCTTAGTGCATACTTAATAAAATTGCTAATGTTCAAATTATTACAAAAATATATTGCTGTTTTAATGCACTAAAAAACTTTCCCATAGAACACAAAAAATGAGCTGGTCCTTTTCCCAAGGGACTTTAAATCCACAATAATTTCCAGTAGCAAGGCACTATTCCATGAAAAAAAAAAAAAAAAAAAAGGAATGGCATCTGACCCTGGGTTTTAAATGAGAGTAGAGACCAGACCGAAAGGAAATCATCCAGTGTGGCTCTGTGGCATTCATGTGGCATAGAGGTCTTCTTTCCATTTTCATGTGTGAAAAATCGAAGACAGAAATGTGATTTCATTAGGTATTTATTTCTGTTTTTTTCTGGCTTTAAATGTAATACTCCTGTTAAGATTTCATGTGAGTATCTTCATATGTGCAATATCATAATAATCTATTGTCTGCAGAATAAACAAGGCAAAACAGCTAGCTATCTCTGTAACCATAAGGATTGGAAATTATACATGCAGAGAATCTTACCACAAATTCTGAGAAACTGTGTAAATCCTAATTTTCTCTTAAGCCAGTGGATTCCTGTTGTCAATGTGATCAGTTTGCAGTTATAGCCCTGTTACTGAAATACCACAGCTCCTATTGTCCCCATTGCCTATCCATTTCCACATTTGCTAGTACAGTCCTTTTAGTCCCAGGTCAAATGGTTTTTGTTGTCTTAGCTCATTCTCTAATAAATGCATCGTAACTCCAACACACACAGTCAGTCAGAACTGGCAGTTCCTCAACTCCAGCAAGTTTACAACTGCATGAAAGCTGAATTACTTCTGTCACAGGAGACTGATTCTTTGAGGTCAAGTCAAGCTCATTAAGGAGGAGAGACTGTGCAGAAGTTTGTGCTGTAGCCTTGTCTTTCAGCTGCAATTATCATGCATAAATGCTTTGAATTTTTTTATTTCCAGAACCGTGCAGACCCTTAACTATCATACTGGTGGTGTTTTTCTGTATTGACCAAGTAGTGTTGGTGGTGAACGCATCTAGCAAAAAAGTGTAGTCTAATTAACAGGGCACGTAATTACACTGAGGAGATCGGGATCCTCTTTCTGATTCTGCCGCATTCTATGAGTTCGGGACCACTGCACCTGCATTTACGCCACTGTTTCAGCCTTCCCAACCTGCTGTACTTACACTATACACTCTGCAGTTCAGGGCTGTCTCACACTGCTTAGTTTTACAATGCCGGCCACAGACAAGTCCTTGGACACCACTGCTCTGTACTTGACAATAATAAATCCGATGTCAAATATGTGGCTAAACCTCTGTGTACTGTTTCTTTTTCTTTTCCCATGTAAATGTTTCCATTTTAATGAAATGGGAAATACCTAACTTGCTTTACTCCAAACTAATGAATAGTGTAGTGTCATCAGAAGCCTTTTCTAGCAATTTAAAGAACCATTGAATAAAAAAAAAAATAGGTAAAGAAACAGCTATTCATTCTCCTTGTTGAGTCAGCACCAGGATCGTTATTTTTAATAAAAAGAAATATTTATGCCTGAAGGACTCAGATTTGTTGAAGCTCAAGAGCTATGATAGAAACAAACATCTATTTTCAGTTCCATTCAGTATTTACATATAAAAAGCATCTTTCTGTCATTGTCTTTGACTGAATAAGAGTGTATGCATAATGTTTACAGGAAAGAATGCTAGGGTATGTAATCTTTAATATTAAATATTATTTTTAAATCTATTCTGATGTATTACCAAAACCAAACATATATTCAAGAAGGAAGTGAACATCTAGTGAAAGAGGATGTTTTCTTTGCATTGGTAAATTCTGTATTATCTCGATGGACCTGATACTATGCAGAAGCTTATGAGGCATTCAGGGGCTGTTGGTCACCCTTGCTGTGGGCTTCAGATTCCAGTGATAAGAAGGTTCATTATTCACGATCCCTCACTGCTCTCCTTCCTTTCTTGGTATGAACATCAGCACAAGCCTCTGTCATTCAACTTTTAACATTTCTCAGTTGCATATCTCTTCAGTTCTGAGTATGTCATATTCAAAACATGTTAATTCTTCCACCACATAACTTTCAACAGCCAATTTTATTTTTTGTTCCCATCAACCTTAATAAAATGCCACAGAGGTTCTCATCATCATGCACATCATCTAGTGCAGTCTCCTCTCCCCTCTGGTTTGATTCCCTGTGCCTTGTGCACCAACTAAAGCTCCTTCCAAATACTACAAGCTATCCATAATGCAGCACAGTCAAGAAACGCCAGACACCTGCAGTCCTATCCTCCACATACCTAACTCCAGTTCCTCTTCAATGCCTCTCTTCTGCCAGTAATTAAGGATTTCATAGCAGAGGTTAATGACTTGATTGTCTCTCCTCAGATATGGATCAGAGCCAGGGTAAAGATCTGATCTCACGTGTTATGAGTGGCAGTTAAAAAGAACCTCCAGTTTCATAAAAACTTAAGAATTTCCTTGATGAAAACAGTGATCTTAATGTTTTGGCACCTCGTCTCCATGTTTCTCACCTAATGAGTGGCACAAGAGAAACATTTCTGCCCTCAAAGCTTTCTAATACACATCAGATCTTTACCATATATATGTCTTTGGTTTTGTTTTGTTTTTAAACAGAGTTGGCGTAGATCCGGATGAAGATCTGAAAGCAGAAGCTGCAAGCCAGGTATGTCTGGATTTTAGACATACATGCCCAATTAAAAACTGTTAAACTGTTGGCAGATCATGTTTGTCAAAAATAGTGTTATAGCTGAAAATGTTTAAAACAGGCAGGTTGTAAATAAAAAGGAGATGCAAAGTATCTTTATTATGCAAGTTACAAAGAGACAAGATATGCATTCATGAAAATTTTGTAACTAAAAATGTTGCAGAGTTTTGAAGAAAATTATAAATAATGCAAAGATATCCCGAGAGTTCTAATAAACAAAATAATAGAAGTATTGCCTTTATAAATCCAAATATTTTTCACCTTTCAAATGCCTCATTTATGGAAAAGAGACATCTCAGAACAATGTTTAATCCCCTGGAATAGAAAAGGAGAATGTGTAATGTTCAATTCTAGTAGGACAGGTTTCTGAAAATATTTTTCCATTAGTTTTCAAAGTAACATTGTGAATCTGAACACTTTAAACTAAATGAGGCTATTTAACAGGCTCCAGCTGTTCATCTGTCACCTCTCCTTTTTTGTCATACATATATGGCATTGTTTCAAATGCAGCACTGCCTGAAACAACAGTAGAAATCTAGAGAGTCAATACAGAGAGACATAACACATGCATCGCCACGGTAAGTGGAACAGCAGCACGACTAGGGAGGACAACACTACAGTTTACAACTTGCCAAAGCAGAAAGTAAAAAAGTGCCTAATACTAACTATGTTCCTGTTTCTAGGTAATACCATCCCGTGCACTCTTTCAGACTGAGCAACTGAAACTGAAATTGAAATCACCCAACAGCAATATAAACATAGAAAATAAGTTAGACATGAGTACGATACTCTATTACCTTGAAAATACATTAAAGATCTCACTAGGCAGAATTTTAATATATCTTACACACTGAGTATTCTTAACATTTACACATTTAAGGTCTCAACTTTAATTGAAACCAAATGGAATTCAGGTGGCTAACTGTCCTAATGTTTCTTTGAAAAGAAGGAAAAATATTCATATCTGACCATATCCTTAGTTTTACAACTCAGTCACTATTAAAAGGGGTAGCATAACACTCCATTGCACCATACCAAGATACTGCTTTATTCTGAGGGGACTAGTCATTAATATCACTCTCCTAAGCATCTTGGTAGGAATTCCTGCAATGTCTCTGCCCAAATTCTGACCAAGTCCAGGATACAGAATCTTAATCTATTCTTGACTGAATTTTCAATATATATCATTTCAGAAATTTTCTACTTTGTACCACTTATGAATTATCAAAGATCAGAGAATGCTGAATGCAGTATAAAATTGACTGAATGCATGCGTTGTGAAAACCTGATTTGTTCAGAATTCAGTAGGCATCTAATTTTTTCCTTCTTTTATTAAAAATGAAAATAATCATGTTTATGAATAGCAATAACATATCCAGTGTCCCACCTGTGCCCTGTGAATTAACACCTATCTCTGTTAACAAAACTCAGTGATACAACATATAAGGTGTAAATAAATATAACGCCTTTCATGCCCTATCATGTCCAAGTCAGCCTTCTTTACAGTAGTAAATTTTACCTTGGAAGATAGTTTTGCTGCTCTGATTATTCTTTTCCCCCCCGTGGTATTCTGTTTTCATTTGTCTGACCTTTTTCTATTTGACACCTCAATCTTTTACTAATTCAGACCTTTGCTGCATTGTCTGTTGCCCTCTTTGTTTTAACTCGGTACCTATCACAGTTATTCAATTTATATCATGTTACTTTTAATTTTCTCTTTCATCTCATCTCTCTCTCATGCTTCTTCTTCCCCTTTGTCTTTTTTATTTCCCTTTATTTCTAATATGAAGTTTTTCTTTAGTTTACCTACTTTTCATTTTTCTCCTATGTATGTGTGTCTTCACAGTGAAAGCAGTTGCTTTTCATGCATATAGTCCTGAACAAATAACATATTGAGTGCCAGTATCTCCCACTGCCAGTTAAAGCTCTTGCCTAGATAAACTTCAAACCACGTGGCAACTTTAAGTGCTGTTAGTAGGAGCTTCAGGGGGATTGTATAAGAAATAAGAAGTTAATATCTTGTCAAGAATAAAGGGTTTAAACAACAGCAAAACTAGTGGAAAACAAACATTTAGGGTCCTCCCTTCTCAGCCAGAGTACTTGGCCAGAATGGGGAAGCCACAAGGTCTGCTGCAGAAATTCAAGTTTGTCTTCTCTGTGACCACTCTACCAGGACACAGGGCATCTCACTGTAAGAACCTCTCAATCCATATCTGTAACCAGACCCGAATTTTTCAGGGGCAGAAAAAGTTTTAAACACCTTCCACCTCATGACTATTATGTCAGAGGTAATAAGCAGCTACGTGGCTGCATAACTATTTTCCTTTCCTGCCTCTTCATCTTGGTCTCCCTTATTTCCTTCCCTTCCACAAATTCAGTTTTCTCTTCTATGAATGAATTTGACTTCAGTCACAACTTCCATGGAGTTGGTTGTTTCTGGACTTCTGATTATTCTCTATTCTGGACTGGCTCAACCAGTAGTTTTGGCAGTCAGCTAGCAGCAAATTCCAGTTCAAGTTGTAAGACTTGGAATGCAGGGCTCCTTCCCTAGCAAAGGTGTAGAGCCTTTTAACATATTATTAGCATCTAGACTTCACCATACCGTGACCTCATCCATCCAAAGGATCTCTCAGCTTCTTTGTGTCAGTTCTGCCCTTCCTTAAATGTGTTTATCATTAAATCAACTTCATTACAATCATAAACAGAAGACATAATAGCTTCATATTAAAATCCGTTTATTTATTGATGCAGTCATAACTCAGTTTCAAAATAACTGATTTACATAATACAATATATATTAGTGTACAGTAAATAATATATAAAAATAAACAAAAACAGTTTGCTGCATATCACAGAGAATATAAACACCAAAAGCTACCTCTGATAAGCAGATTTCAGGATACAATCACAAAGCAGTTACAAAGTTGATATATTAAAAAAAGGCAAAAGTTTTTATGGAAGTGGGCTTTTTAACTGACTTCCCATAAGTAAAGATAGACAATACCATATTTTATTCAGATTGTTTACGTATCTCCAGTTCTACCATGTTAATCTCTATCAAGATAGGGTAAGAATGTATTTGCTACAAACATTTGGGGAAAATGTTGTAGGTCTAGTATTGCTATCAGGGGAAAACTAAATAGCCTGTGAAACACCTATCAGTATCATCTCTGTCAAACTGATGTTCCTGCTTTATTTAACCATCCCTATATTTTTATTAGCATAAAAAGGAAATTATTTATACTTTCCCCATCAGTTCTACCTGCCAACTGGCAGGTGAGTTTATTGCAAGTGACTAATGAGAATAATCTCCATATGGGTAGTTCCCAAGTAATAGATGAGAAACAGTGGCATTCTCACTTCTCACAGAGAAAATTGTTGTCCAGAAGGGGTGGTGGACTGTTTCCCATAATTCCACTTCTTCGAACCATAGGGAAAGTAAAAAATTACTTCTTAAGATCATAAGATCCAAGGATCTGCAACAGCCCAAAAGCATTTACACCGACATCTGCCATCCTTTGACTGTATTGTTTATGCAGGAGCTGCACTACAGGTAACTACCCAGATTCCCATAAACGCAAAAGCTGTTAACACAATATAGATTCTGTATACAAAAGGAAGAAGGTGCAACATATCAAACTCGCATTGCTCAAACAAACCAGGGATTACAGGCCACCAGAGTGGGTGTGAAGCAATGCAGCAATAAATTTGATTGCAATAAATAAGAGCAGGTCCAGCTCTGGACCAGAAAGTTATTGGAGAATTATACACTCTGGTGCAGACTTTTTTGTCCACTGCTTCCATACAGGAACAATTCATGTTCCCCTATGACAAATCCTGTTCCTGCAAGAGGTAGCTGGATAAACAGTGAGTTTGGGAAGAGGAATTAACAAAGAACTCTGTGGCTTCTGGAAACATTAATGGTCAAACCAAGGAAACACAGGCCATTTACAGAGCGCTCTGTGCCTTTAACTAGCCTTCTCTGCATTGCTTGCTGCAGCCCACTCCATGATGTCTATTGTCATGCCTGCCCCTCTTTCTCACCTCTATCCCTGTCCACATTAGGCCTTCACCCTCTTTATTTCAGTGTTCTTGTTCTGACCTAACAGAGACCCTACCTGCCATCACACTTCCCGCTTAAATGCTTCAACAGTTTTCACAATCTGTACCTATCTTACCAAAATGCACTTAGATATCAAGGGGCTCAGAAGAGAGTATTGCTGCTCAGTTAGGGATTACTACCATTTTCTTCCCCCCTCCAGCCTCCCCAGTTGCTAAAATACTCAATTTGGTAACAAGGAAACAGATCCCAAGAACAATATTTGGCATATTTGTAAGTTCACTGCAACCACCTTTGACAATAGCAAAATCATAACGGCTACATTATGGTTTCTGTTTCCATATAACCTTACTCGAAACCGAGTGAAATCAACATAAAAGTTCCCATGTACAGGTTGGCTTGGAACTAGACTACAGTTTTGAGGATCAGACCATTGACATTATTATCATCAGCCAATTTACATGTATGTTAATGTATAACAGGAAATTATATTTTAATACATTATTAGATTAAAACATACAAATTAGATACATTGGTTTAAAACTGCATAAAGAAAAATATTCCCATCAAAAGATAATCTAATTTATAGCAAAACACAAACAAGACAATAATAAAGTATCCCTAAGGAACTAACAATCCCATTCCTAATTCCATCCTGCCATAAATTCTTTGGCTAGTACTGATGTGATGCCCAGAGTATGACCACACTAGCTCTTTGTTCAGATGACTGTTTCTAGTGTATTATTCCAAATTATGACCCTGAATAAAAGGGTAGTCCGTCTAACTACCTGTGCAGTACGCCCCAGAATTAGCCTGTGAAATGGAGAGCAGCATTTTGGGTCTTGTTAACTCAAGTCATGTTCCTCTTCCCTTGGAAACAACCACAGAAAGGAAAGTAGTGTCATAATTATTAGAATATCATGATCCCTTTGGGAATGGCATTTTGTCAGAAATATACAAATAGCATCTGATCTTGTAGGAGTAAACTGAAGTAATCCCACAATGCCAATTAAATTGAAATATCATGTTATTGATCTCAGAATATAGTGCTTTTCACCTGCTTAATAAAATTGGAATCATTAATAAAAGTAAATGCTGCACTCTTCCAGTGAGTATATAGCAATTGAAAATGTGCTATATAAGCCAATTTCCTCCTAAACTGATGCACAGAGATGACATTTGACATGAAAGAAGCTTTTTAAATTTAAAAAATAAGTGCAGTTAATTGTAATTCAGTTTGCCATGTATTTTTAATATTGGAACTACATGTTTTATTTATGTTATAAAAATGTTTTTCACTTTATTCATTGGTGTATTTTTCAGAGTGCACCTAACTTGGATAAAAGTACTACCAAAGCTGAGAATGCATGGCTGTTCAGAATATGGTATGGCTTTGACCACAAGTATCCTTTTTTGTTATAAATCATAGATGATAGTTGCATTACAACTAGCATTTTCAAAATATCTGAGTCCAAAAATTATTATACTTTTAAAAAGCAAAAACAAAAGCATAATTTATTTTAATGTGTTCAGTAAGAAGAAATGTTGAAAGTTCAGAGGGTCTAGAGAAGCTGGGCAGTGCAGTGGTAATACATTCCTGACTGAGGCTATGGGGAGGGAGAACAAGCTAAGAAGCCCTGCCCTACAGTAGTATATAGACAGTAGGTTCAGCTAAATCAACCTTCTTGAATTCCAGGATAAAACTAATCTGATTAATCAGGGTGTAAATTCTGTGTTTGGGAAACCAGGAGGTTGAAGACTGAAACAGCCCAATGGCTGCTGCCTGCCCGCATATTCAGAAAACAGTAGCTACCCAAGAGAAAGTAAAAATAAGACAGCACTAGTTTAACCCCCACCTCTTACAAAGAGAAAGATGCATCGATTGTGAAGATGTAGCTCCCAGGACTTCCCTAGAGCTCATACTTCCTATTCCCTGGATTCCTGAGACTTTGTGCTTCTATTCACATTCCTACTGAGGTGTGTATGTATGGTAGAGAGATCTTGAATTTGGTTGACTGATGCCTTATTCCAGAAATCTGATTTCCATGTCTTTTGCATTTCAAGAAAATATTTTAAGTGATATTTGTAAACTATTCTTAAAAAGAACATCCTCCCAAAGCCAAGGTAGAACATACCCATGCTGTCACTAATGCCTGTGCAAACATGGTAAAAGCTACTATTCTAATTTATTGACATTTTAAACTGACTCCGCAAAGGCTTTGCATAACTATCAGTGAGATTCCACAGTAACAATTATGCCCTAAGCCTTTAACAGAGATATACAATGAATATGAGGAGCCCATCTGCTAATTCCCATGCATACTAGCTCAGGAGCTGAATAGCAAAGCTTTACCAGTAGTCTTCATAATTCAACAGCACATCTATTTGTCCATTACCCTGTACTACTGAGTAGAGATCGATGTTCAAGCTACATGTATGTTTTTCTGATACCAGCTGCAGAAAATTAGAATGAAATATTTCAGCTGCTAAAATGTAACTCTTTGAGAATACAGCTTCCTTAGAGAGTTCAAGTGAAGTTATCCTTCAAACACACTTTTGATGGAAAAAACATCTTTTTGGTTAAAAATGAATGTATTGCTCTAATTCATCTACCAGAACAGTTTTTAGGGACAAAAAGCACTTAGCATTAAAATGTTTCCCTAGAATAATTCTTCAAGAATACTTAGAAATAGTAGGTGAATATTGTATACAGGGGGTAAAAAATGTTTAAATGTTAATGCTGAGTACCAGCATAACTGGTTTTAACTACCACCTAGTTCCACTTATTTTTCAGAAGGAATATCTTATGGTTGTAGCATATCTTAGAAACTATAAATCAGAAGTAACAGGGGAAAAAAAATAATTTATCTGAAGAAAAAATTGAAAAAAACGTGGAAAACAAGAACAGGACAGAGGCATGAGTTAAAGATGTGAAAGAGATAAGGGTAGAGCTAGAAGACAAAGGACAAACAGAAGGGAAAGAGATATCAATATGAAAAAGTCAAACAATACATGCAAAATGAAAGGACTGTAGAAGACACCACGAGCACTATTTCTCAGTGGTTATCTGTGTGGTAGAGATCTTGAATATGGGTGTCTGATGCTTTATTCTAAAAAGACTGGTTTCCATGTCTTTTGCATTTCAAGGAAGCATTAAGTGATTTTTTTCTTTAAATATTTTTAAAAGGAACAAATTTATTCATAAGTGTCAATCTCTCTTTTAGTCAAGTCATAATCTTTCTTCAGAATTCAGATTTTCAGGGATTATAGCCCTGCCATTATCCTAAAATATATTTTTATTACAAATAATACTTCTACATTTTACTAATCCTGAAAATGTATGCCCATATACCTGCACAGAATAATGGTTCAACCCACTAATGCTGTGACTCACAGCTCTGAACATTTCTTTGGTATGACTATTTCTGAAAGACATTCTTTTCAGGGAGAGAGAAATTATCCACCCAAACTTTCTTTTGCCTTTCCCTGCCTAATGTTACAAAGCTGTGCTGCTAAATTTAGAAGAATAAATTGTGATGTAGCATAGTATTTGTGCCCAATACAAGATTGCATAGAGGATTCCGATAAAGTTTTCAAATAAAAGATACAGCAAAATAATAATCTATCTAGTTATATACTTTGAAAGCATACAAGACTGACATTTCTATAGCTTGACATTTGCTCTTAGGCATTAACACAAGTCTACCCATTCTTCTGGCAATAACATCTCCTATGCCTATTTATTTCACAAAGGAAAAGCAAGAGGGAAGAAATATCCATGAGGAAATAAAAATGTTGTGCTGTTACTTGCTGTCCTTATGAATGGTTTCTACTTAGTTCAGTGGTCTTAAGCAATGGCAACATGCCACACTAGGACAGAAATATACATAATGAAAACCCTGAAATTCTGTTTGAGAACCAAATTTTATTTTTATTCTGAAAGAAACAGTAGGAGCCTGATCCAGAGCCAGCTGGGTTCAATAAGGGTTGTTCAAGTATCTTTGAATCAGGTATTGACACCTAAGAAAAACATACTGTTCTAAAATCCGTGCTAAGAAATGTTAATACTCAAATAATAAAAATGAAGAACAGATCATTTAAGTACTTAGAGGTATCCACTTGGATTTTCACCTCAATAATTTAAACAAGGAGAATGCAAAATAAAGTACTTGGTATCTGACAGTGGGTAAATTCCAGAGAATTTATTTCAACTACTTTGTTTTTACAGCTTACAATGCATTACCATTTGAAGCTGTAATATCCTACTTAAGGCTGGTGGAAAAGTGAGGGAATAAACTAAGTTATTTCAATAATTTATCTGTGAAAAAACCCCAAGATATATAATTCAGCACTATATACATGGATTTATATCATTGTTTGTATTTTTTTCCGGGCAGATGTAGCAAAGTTTAGCTAACTAATAAGTAGGTAGAAATTTCATCCTGCAAAGGCAAGAACCTATGTATATAAGGGCAGAGCTCAAAGTGAGCAAAAGTTATCCCATTTCAGAGCATCCCACAACAGAATTATAACTTTGCTCCCAGCTAACATCAATTTGTTTTTAACTTTTCTCAGTCCCAAACTTCTTTACTTGCTTACTCCAGCAAACATCACTGGGTTTTGCCTGCCTAGTCCCAAGACACTATGTACCTGAGCAAAGTTAGAATTCCTCCTCTACACAGACCTGTGTTCCCAGTTACAATCTACCACTAAAAATTAAGGTAAAATTCATATAATGAAAGTGTTCTGCAAACAATCTTCACCTGTTTTTCCAGCTACTTTAGATTAAGCTCCTGCAATCAATTCTGGTTTAACATGATCTATAAAAGGCTTTTTGCCTGGTACAGCTTCTTTCTCTCTCTGCATTCATATAATTCTCACTCATGGGCGGGCATTTTTGGTCTCCACTGGCTGTTCTGTAACATCAGTTCAGGAAGATGACTATACTGTTCTCCCAGCTTCTCATGCGGTATACTGAGAGGAGAAGAAACTATTTAGGATTTCTGCACTACAACACAGAAGTGCAAAAATAACTGAAAATGAAAAAAAGAGAGCATAATGTATGTGCTAAGATGTTTCCATCCACAAATGCTCACCATCTTCATAAGGAGAAGCCTACATTATGTTGCAGGATATCTACTTTAATAGTGCACACTGAAACTTGCATTGAGAAAAAACAGTTATTGTATATCAGGAAAATATATGCAAGATTACAACAGAAGAAAACAAGAAGGGAAGAAAGAGGGACAAAGACTTCAAATGCACGGTAAGTTTCTTTGGATATTTAATAAGTGTTAAATTTCAAGACACAGGCCTTGGACCCAGCTGCAGCCAAGTTATCATGTGTTTTTCTGGCAATGGGGTGAAGATGAGATTGCATGTCTTATGCTCCTCGAAGACTAGACAACATGATCAGAGCACTAGCGCTGTTAGTAATCTCTGGCACACGTGAGGGGTGAGCAGGAGCAAGAGACACACGATGACTGTTGTTAGCCGGCTAGTATGGGTATTATAAGTACCGCAATGACAGGCCTGCCGCGTCCTTGATACTGCTCCAAGCTACCAAATAGCAGTGTAGCTATCTAACGTGCACAGTGCTTTGCTTTTCAAGTGGCTCACATGCACACTGCCATGGATAGAGAAAGAGGAAGAAGAGGAAAGCGTTCTCCTTCTTTACAGATTTCTTTTCAGTCTGAGGAACTAACATTCAGCTGCACTGAATAGAAGCAGGAGTCTGGGACAGAGTGAGCCGATTCGCCATAAAGCAACTTCTAAAAGTGTTTCTACTTGAACTGCAGTTATCCATCATTCAGATGCATTCCTTTCAGTTTGAGAAAAGATTGTTTATGTCCTTTGCACTTACAATCAGCCAAAAGAAATTGCATTATTTGTATACTTCAAAAGTTTATCCTTCTTAACTTATCAGAGCACCTATCATTTTATTTCTCCTGTGCTTTGTACATGGATAAACCAGACATAATGGCTGCCTATGAAGGAAGATAAGTACTGTTCTGTGCCTGTGAGAAAATGGAAAAGCTACTAAAAGCAAAAGTGCATTCCAGGGTGAACTGACAATCAAAGGAAAAAGTCAGCATTTTGGGGTCTTCGGCTGAATTTTCCTTATGGGATGACTTGCCACTCTCATAACAGAGAAAGACATCTTTAGAAGGAAAAGAGGCTGTAAGCATGCATGTGCATACCATTTTATTTTACCTGCTGAAGAAGTTTCTTAATTACTAATATTATGATTTGGCATTCTTTATCACTTCTGTGACAACAGCAAAATAGCACACAGTATCCTAGTTTTGGACCAGAATCTCATTTTGCTAGACAGTTTTCAAACCGAGAAAAGACAATCTTATCTCAGAGAGACTTCAGTCTAATTATGAATCAAAGAAGCATC